CATTTGGCTAAGTTATGGTAATTAATATTTACAATCATCTGCATATGCGCAACTTTACAAAACATGGTTGCATAGCATCGCATAAGACGAAGGGAGGTATTCATTATTTGTCAATGACTAATGATCGGGTTGCGCATAAGCAACCGTTTCAGCAGGTCCAAAATAGGCATGCTTAGTCGGTAGACCGCTGAATTCATAATCTAAGAAACAAGGATTGAACTCCACCTTGATCCCTCGCCCTTTATGCGTTCGACATAAAATAGGAGTATCGCTAAGTGGGAAGCAAACAGAAAACTCCACGCTGTACTTGCCACAAGGTATGGTAGTGACACACTTTGCTGAAGTAGGTAATGACTATGGGATTGCACCTTTCGTCTCTCCTGGATCACAAAACAGAGATCTGCGTAGTGGACAACTCCAATTCTAGCGAACTACAAATCACTGTGTAACTATGAACCTAAATAGAGCATTATACTGAAGGAGAACAGAAGACCGTACACTATAGTCATCATTCAGCTGTAGACATGGCCTTATAAACACCAACAAGAACATCAGACTTATGAGAACGCAGTGGAGATCAGCTAAATATCACAATTTCGCAAAAGAAGGCTGCCAAAAATATTGTCCCCTTGTGAAAGTGTAAGAAAGACTGACATCCTAACGCTTACAGACTTCGCTTTCTGAGGCTGATGGTTGTCTGCAAGTCTTGTGAGAAACGGCTAGGCTGATTGGCAATCGAGCTCTGTCCATGCTGCTGGACTGTTGTACTAGCTACGAGTCCCCTATAACGTTGAGTGCCAAGGACAGCTGTTCTGAGTTTTCGGTCAACAGACTTTAACCCAGATGATAGGCTGACGTTATGATGATTATTGCAAATCGACTAGCAAATTGTTCAACCAAAGTCCGCTACGAATCTACACTACGCTAGTACTGTAGTAGTACTTTGCAATACTTCCGGCTGTGGCGGAGATGTTCCGTTAATTATCGAATTAACATTCGAAAGATTTCTGCCACAGTCCGGTCACTAACCTGTGGTTCAAGGTTGATGAATTACCACCATTTCATTGGAAAGAAACGAAAGGCCACATGCTACCAACGTTATAGAACTGCACGACAGGGCTTCAAAACAACAGCGGCAACTTCTGACTGGTTATAAGCGCCATGAACTCCATGTATAAAACGAGGACTTCACACGCGACTCTCATACGAATGTGTAAGGGAGACTGACATCCCAGCGAATATCAGCCTTCCTCACTTTTCCTCATGCAATCAATGCAGAAAACTGTTGTGAAACTGTTGGAAAGACTGCACCCATGGATTAAGGATCATTCATTGCAATCTCTCCTGCATCTTCAGCGAAGTCAGCTGGTACTTAAATCTTTATCAGAGATTCGATTTTAAAAGCTGACACCAACCTAATGGCAAACGTACACAGACAGTCTGAATAAGTTACACAAGTATATTAATTCTGTCAATTGCTAGGCTGTCGATTCGAAACTGCCTCTACCATAAATACCTTTATGCCACTTTTTGGTATAAAGTTACCTAAAGGATTCATCGATGCCATCTATCGTTCGGATATATAAAATCTGATAATGTACTTTCCAAAAAGGCGATATGAACTTAGGTCTCTCGTCCGGGACTTTGCGGAGTA